ACCAGAGAGACAAGGTCGAGGGCTACCTCGCAAAGTCGCAGGAATGTATCAAGATACTGGTCAACTGCAGCGTTGTGGACCGTGTCGCCAATTCCTTGCTTCAGATCGTCCGACCGCTGCACCAGGATCTCCAACGACTCGCCAGTACCGAATCCAGCAGTCGTCCTAAGAGCGGAATCTATGACCTACTCGAGAATCCACACGCAGACGGTACCAGTACTCCCTCGTCCACCGCATCTGGACGTGGATGGTCGCCAGTGGCGCAGCAGTACCAAGGATCCAGTAGCGAATTCAGCGTCATGACGCCAACAATCCGCAGCGCCGCCATTCCTGCTATGCAGAACGCGATCGAAGTCCTGGCGAATCCGTTCGGCCATTCAAGGAGGCTCAGTCATACTGATTCCTTCGTCGCGGGCGACCCTAACGTGCCGAGGAGGTGGAATTGATCGGCCACCCCGAAACGGTACTAGGCAGGGGTTGTTGATGGCGGGAACCCTGCCCAGAAAGATTGCCCAGGAATGTTACCTAGGTACTCGTATAAAGTTGGAAAATGAAGGCCCCTTAAAGGTTGGTTGCCGAATTAGACTTTGGTGGCTTGCGAATCGAGGTGCTCCGGATCTCGAAAGTATCTCGGGGCGTTTCGAGGATCGCAAAATATACTCCTTGTCAGGAGAAGGAATAGTACTTTAGAGCACTACTCGAGTGAGAAAGATATGCGATGTGATGGGTTGATAGATGGATGGATGGAGAAGGAATAGTACTTTAGAGCACTATTCGAGGGACGAAGATATGTGGTGTGAGGCAGAAAGGAATAGTACTTTAGAGCACTATTCGACGGATGAGATGTGATGCGACGAGGAAGAAATAGTACTTGGAGCACTATTCAGGGATGAAGATACGAGATGCGAGGGAGAAGAAATAGTACTTTAGAGCACTATTCGATCGAGGAAGATATTTGATGTGGCCGATTGATTGATAGATGGATAGACGGATAGATGGATAGATGGATAGATGGACGGGTTGATCGATTGACTGACTCGCTGCTATGAGGAAACGAATTGACGTATTGATTGATTGTTTGTTTGTCTCGCTGCTATGAGGAAGATGGAGTATCCCAATTTTTGGATGAGAGTTGTAGAGAGGCAGGCAATAACGGCAAATGATGGCAATAGACGGTCATCGCCCATTAAACCGATAATCTCATGAACGCTTTCGCACAATAATGCAAATGATTCTGGTCTCAAATTTTCGACTTCTTCTTTCCGCTGGTTTTCGCTCAACCGCAGGTCTTATGCCAAGAGATGACGCCCCGTTCTCCTGCTTGATCTGGGACCTTGCGCTATTCTCGACCAGACTGGGTATCCAACCCCGTCTTCTACCTGCCGTTTCCTCAAATCAGTCAGTTACTGACCATTTACGGGCCCGACAAGTGGTGCCGGAGAGTTCGGACCTGAACTCTTCTTCAGGTGAAGCGGAAACGGATAGTCGTCGGGTTCCTCTTCCTCACTAGGACATAAGTCAGTCAATGTGCAAGACGGGCAGAAAGGGCGACTCACGGTAACCTCCATGCAATGTAATCCTCCGTGCTTAGACCCTCTTTGCCCTCTTGCAATGAAGCAAAATCACCCGGCGTCATCATACCGGTTCGATCTCGGGGCGATCCGGGCACTGAGAGTGGTCTGGAGATCTTCTGTTCGGTACCTCCAATGATATCGTCGAATTCATCAGCGTCAGTGAAGGAGGCAGGATAAGCGCGGCGCAAGGCCAGCTGTCGAGCCTTGACATATTCCATGCCCATGCGCTTCCAGTCTAGAAGATCGCTGAGTCGCTCGGTGCGATTTCGTTGATTGATGCGTTGCCTCCGGGATTTGTTGGCGAATTCGTACATGTAGTCGGTTAGTTGGTTGACTGACTCGTCCACACCCTTTGTTCGTCGGTCCACAATATAGATGCCGTAGTCAGAGGAGTTCTCGATGAGTTCCTGGAGCGAACGTTAGCCGCCATCGTCGGGGGGAGGATAAGAGATATTCGAGGGTTTGACTCCTGCAATGCTGCAAATTCGTTTCCTTGGACACTCACCTCCATATAACAACCGAAGCCTGACAGGTTAGTGGTGATGGACGGCACCCCCATGACTGTGCATTCGGCCTGTGGAAGAATTAGCGTCAACCACGTGTGGGCATTGTAGGGGAATACATACGGGCGTATATCCCCAGGGCTCGTAATAGGAAGCAAAGACACCAAGGTGAGTACCTCGCACAAAGTCATCATAGTCCAAAGACAATACTGGGTTCGCCGAGTTCAAGAACTCGGGGTGGAAGATGACTTTGACACGATCGTGGGTGTTGTTGAAGAGTTGAACGCGTCGTAATTGATTGAGGACAGGATCCTCGGAATCATTGACCATATTGTGGGTGACAATGGGCGGAAGACCGTGACGTTTCATGGCAAAGAGTCGCCGTCTAAGCATGACCCGATCGGCTGGAGTGATGAGCTCCCTGTCGTCCGGCATAGGATCTCCTTCCTTCCAGTGCACAGCCCTCTCGAACAACCTTCGACCGATACCATGCTGAATGTTGGAAACGGTGTCGGCCAGAGATTTTGTCACAGCCTGACCCTTGAGCGACTCAACCGAGAGTGATGTCGTTTGGGCGGGCATGATCAAAAATGCGACAATAGTGGTCTTGCTGCCCGAGCTTTGCATACGATAATTCAATCTAGCCAACGACTCAATGAACATATCCACGCCCTTGTTCCGGTATTCATATCTGCCAGCAGTGAAGTAGTAGAGCGTGTTGTCCAGGTCGAAGTCCAAACGACCATAGAAGTGTCCCCGGACGAATTCGTGGATCTTTTCTTTCTGTACGGAATGAAGGTTTTGGAATTCATGTACCGCGGAGAACTTCTTGACGTTCAGGCCGTTGGGAAGGACCCCGTCAGGTTTCCGCTTCAGCAGGTGCTCGCTTTCGAAGGCAGTGATGTGGGAAACGGTCGTGAAGACATCGGCGGAGTGAGCGGATGCTCGTTCGATGCAATAGCGGTGGTAAATCCCACGTTTTCCCGCCTCCGCATCCACATCGAAGTATTGCAGATTGTTGTAAAAGTCGACAGAGCCAGCGCAGAGGTACCGACCGAGGAGGGTTGCGTGTGTTGTGAAGATGGTGGTCAAGTCCATCTGGCGCTTCTTGGTCAATGGGAGAGCCACTCCAGAGAGCCATTCGTGGAAGTGAGCGATGACTGCGCGATCGGTCTCGCGGGCGATAAACTAGCACCCGTCAGCATCAATAGGGATTGATTGTCATCTTAAGCACCTACTTCGCCCAAGAACCATGCGACCAGGTACCCAAACACGATGGCTTCGTTCGTTTCGTGATCCCCCGCCGGGGAAGGGATGCCAGCTGCAGCCCATAGGTCTCCCTTCCATTCATCCAGCCATCGGTAACCGGTTCCAGTATTGATAAGGAGCACCCTTGGAGCGCCCTCGATGAGCCACCGACCGTACATGAGCTCAATGCCGCGTTCTTGCATGGATGAAATGGTTTCTCGAAGAGGGCCCGGCGGGGGATCAAGAGTTTCAACTTCAACTGCGGCCTGCGAGTGTCAGTCAACGCTTGCATGAGAGGTTCATCCCACGTACCGAGTTCTTGTTCAGAGGGCCAATGAGCGTATATCTCTCGCCATATTCTGCTGTTGTCACAGGAGCTTTGGACTTGAGCACCGAGTAGATGCCACCGACTGGCCCGAATTAGCACATGCTCTGGATATACGACGGGATATTGGGTACCTCGATTAGCAACCTCTGTTGCAACTTCAAAGAGTAGGTGGTTCTTTATATCTCTCTTCTTCTCTGTTTCACCGTTCATCTTGCCGGGTCTGATCGCGTGTGCGTCGTGTGCAGAGCAAGGTACGCGGCGTCTGTCAATTGGGCGAGACCTGCTGGCCAAAGCTTACCCCACAGCGAGCGGAAGCTTGCAGGCAGGATTCGCAGCTCAACAACGGAGTGATGTGAGGTCGAAAAACAAACGGCGAGAGGTCGCAGAGCTGTAATGGCAAGCTCAACACAACAAACCCCGTCCGGCAAGAAGATGCAACAGATGGCAAATCCGTGAATGTGTTACGAGGGCAACTGTTGAAAGAAATTGAGGCAGGCTGGGGGGGGCGATGGCACCACAACAAGCGATCTCTGGGGTGGATGCCCGAGCGTGGTGAGGGAGGGAGGCTCCACTGCGAGACAAGGGAGTAAAAGGTGAATTTATTGAACTGAGATCTGGCAGCAGAGCTTTCTTCGAACTCAAATATTGGTGACAGCAAGGACCCAAAGTCAATGTGAGGACGGCCAAAGGGTTTGATCAGAAAAATGCGCGGTAGTCACTTCAAAAAATGGGATAATCGTAGGCAAATGACGGCATCAAAGCAAATCATACGACTGTCATTTTTTGGGCGGCGGGTGAAGCTCTGTCCTCTGCTCTGCCACAGCGAGGGAGGGCACCAGCTGCACCTCCCAATGCACAATGACGCCTTGCACGTCACTTTAGGTTGCGGCCTCCCGGTTTAGGCCTAGGCGGCTCATCCTTAAGCGGAAAGCTGCCTTGGCTCCCCCCCTGCGGGCACCCAGTGGGCACCCAGTGGGCACCCATAGCACCCACCAACACACTCTGCAGCCTCTGATTGAGGGAAGTTACCCCCAAACTTCGGCAGGGAGCTTTCGCCCCGCATTCTCTCTCGCGCATTCTTTCCCTCTTTCCCAATGTATTGTGACAAATGTGTGAAACGAACCCTGCTTGCCCGCCTCGCCCGGTTGCCATGCGAACCGAATGCTCTTTGGCTTCCAATTATATTGCTCGATGACTCGGTTGAATCTCTACCGAGGGTCTTCAGTTTCAAGCTTACAAGCACATCTCGGAGTATTCTGGCGATCGTTCGATCGGGTCGAGATGCTGTATCGTCGTCTTTGTCGTCGCCTTTAACTTCGATTCCGTTGCTCGGAAACAGCTAGCATCATGGAGGCGAGAAAAAGCTTGCGATGGACGGTGATCTGGTACTTCATACTGATGTGGTCCTCAGGGCTCACCGATGGCTCTGAGCAGAAACCCATCACGCAATCCGCCAAAAAGCCGAACATCATCTTCATCTTAACCGATGACCAGGATCTCCATATGGATTCGCTGTCGTATATGCCCTTCTTGAAAGAGCACGTGGCCGATCACGGCACTGCCTTACAGAGGCATTACTGCACCGTGGCCTTGTGTTGTCCCTCAAGGGTAAGCATGTGGACGGGCAAGGCTGCGCATAACACCAATGTCACCGACTTACATCCTCCTTGGGGTCAATATTGTCCTTTTGTCTATTTCAGATCGCGCATGAAACTCACTTAAAGCAGGTGGATATCCAAAGTTTGTCAGTCGAGGCTTCAACGACGCATACTTGCCTATCTGGCTCCAGGATGCCGGATACAACACTTACTACGTGGGCAAGTTGTTCAATGCTCAGAGTACGTCCAATTACGACAAGCCCCATGCAGCAGGATGGACTGGCTCCGATTTCCTTCTTGACCCATATACGTATGAGTACTACAATGCCACCTTTCAACGCAACCATGACCCCCCTGTTAGCTATCAGGGTCGATACTCGACGGATGTTATTGCGGAGAAGGCGCTAGGATTTCTTGATGATGCATTGAAGGTGGACAGGCCGTTCTTCCTCACCATTGCGCCGACAGCTCCTCACAGCAATGTGCATATCAAGGACGACACGGCAGAACAATCTATGGCGCGCCCCGCTAGACGCCACGAGCACCTGTTCAAGGACGCAAAAGTCCCCCGGACTCCCAACTTTAATCCTGACAGACCGGGTGGTGCTTCATGGATCCTCACATTACCCCTGCAGAATCAGTCAAACCTCGACTACAATGATGAGTGGTATCGCAACCGCCTTCGGGCATTGCAAGCTGTTGATGAGATGATTGACGGCATAGTGAACCGCTTGGAGAAAGCTGGCATGTTGGAGAATAGCTACCTTTTCTTCTCAACCGACAACGGCTACAGCATCGGACAACATCGAAGGCAACCCGGAAAACAATGTGCGTTCGAAGAAGACGTCAATATTCCTCTTATCGTGCGAGGGCCCGGCATCCCCAAAGGCTACCGCACGGAAATTGTCACTTCGCATATCGACCTTGCGCCCACATTTCTAAGCCTCGCAGGTGTCTCGGAAGCCGAAATGACAAAGTACGAACTGGATGGCAGTGTCATACCATTGCACGCCTTGGACTCGGTGCTTTCAGAGCAACCATGGCCACAAGAGCACGTCAATGTAGAAATGTGGGGAATCATCATGTCCGAAGGGAGATACGGCTATATTCTCTATCCCAATCATACCTACAAGGCGCTGCGGGTTATTGGCAACGGTTATGATCTGTTGTATACCGTTTGGTGCAGCAACGAACACGAACTGTACGACATGACGAAGGACCAATGGCAGATGGACAATATCTACCATGCAGGAAGCAGATCTTTCAACATTGCCACGCCTGCCGCAGGGTTGAGTAGCCAGTCGCCTTACGCTCCCTCCCTTACAAGCACAGGGCAAGTTCTCTCAATTACGAACGTCAGCACCACGATATCCCGCCTCGTATCCCGCCTCGACGCCCTTCTCTTGGTGCTGAAAACTTGCAAGAAGGACGAATGCCGGTTTCCATGGTCCGCCCTCCACCCCGCCGGCGGTGTGCGCAGCCTCCGAGATGCGTTGGATTCAAGATTCGATGAGTTCTATCGCACGAGGCCGAAAGTGCAATATGAGCGGTGCGAAAGAGGATACTTTCCTGCCAGCGAAGGTTCGATGTGGGACGACGGCATGTCTTTCAGAGCAATGGAGCATGAAGTGTGGACAGGCCCTTGATGCGGCAAAACGATAAAATCGCTCCTTGTTGAGACATGCCCCTTCTCAGAAACTCTGGTCTATCAGTGAAGCATGTTGACCAACACCCCACACCGGACTCACTTGCTCCTCTTGTATATCTTCGCCAGATATGCATCAAAGACACCCTTCTTCAATCCTTCACTCTCGTCCACGGCAGCGATCAGCCCCCGCAGCTCTTCAACACGCATCTCCTCGTAATCCTGGTATCTCTTTTCCAGGTGGAGCTCATCGTACAACCGCTTCACCTTTGCCTCCTTTTCATCATCCTTCTGCCCGTAGTTCTCGTCCAGCAATTTTCTTTGCTCTGGCGTGCAAATCAGCAGCGCCTGATTGATCAACCACCCACATTTGTTGTCTTTAATGTCTGTCCCAATCTTGCCAATCACTGAAGGATCACCAAACGCGTCGAGATAGTCATCTTGGATCTGGAAGTACTCGCCTAGCGGGATGAGGATGTCGTGTGCTTGCTTAAGGTTCTTGGATGTAGCGAACCCGAGGTAGTGCAGGGCCAAAGCCACAGGGAGGTAAAAGGAGTAGTATGCGGTCTTGTAGATAACGATGAAGGTGTATTTGGACATGGAGAAGTTGTTCAAGTCAACCTGGTCTTCTGGTGCAGTGATCAGATCGCACAACTGGCCCAGTTCCGTCTGCCAAGTGACCTCGTGGAAGAGCTCGACCAAGTCAACGTAGGCGGCGTGGCTGCGGAAGTGTTTTTTGAGAATGAGGTAGATGGAGGATTCAAGCATGAAGGCGTCGTTGATGGCGATCATCCCCACGCCCGGGTTGCGGTACCAGCATGGTTCTCCGCGACGGGTTATGCTCGAATCCATGATGTCGTCGCTCACAAGAAAGAACGCTTGTAGCAACTCGGTGAGCCAACCTAATGTTGCGAGGTCTTTGAACTCTTGAGGGGACAAAGGTCGGCCGAGGAGCTGCGAGGCCGTATCTGGTACCGACATTCCTCTGTTCAGCTTTCCAGTGGGTGTGTTCACATTGAGAGACTTGTGAACGAATTAGCTGGACAGCCAATGCTAGGAATTCGAGGTCGCCGTACCTTTTTGAACCATTGCAGAGCATTTGCGGGGAGATTGAACTTGCGGCATTCTCCCAGCAGGTCCTCGACCAGCGAGGGGAAGACTTTCTCGAAGTCTGCGCGCGTTGTCTTCGTCGCCATGCCTGAAAGACTGAGTTGTGTTTCTTTGTTGACCGACAATCAGTGGGAGGAGGGGCACAAAAAGAGCTTTTTGGAGATGGCCCTAGATGGCCCCTGGCGAGAACGGAGGTTGCTTCACCGAGTGGCGCTGCCAAGTTGTGGCTGGTGATAAGGGGGCCAAGGGGGGCTCATCTGGAACAGGAACTGCAGCCTCCCCCGCAACTCTCAGTCATTTATCAGTCATTCATCGCTGGAACGACCTGTAGTTCAGTTCTCGTGCTTTTCGCAGTCATGGCTTCGAGGCCGTCGACTCCGACGCCCCAGGCTGCGGCCGAGCCCAAGTCCCCTCTGACGCCAGAACAAGTGAGGCGGCTCGAGATCAACCGTCTGAAGGCCAAGGCATTGCGTGAACAAAGAGAGGCAGAGGTTGTAGCCACGGCGAGCCTCAAGGGATCAGACACTACCATCGCAGGCCAGAAACGCTCATATGCCATTTTCTCCCAGACTTCGGCACCTCCTACGAATCGGGATGCCAGGATTGAGGCCAATAATCGTCCCCTCGAGGCCATTCAGCCGGCGCGCAACTTTACGAAGTACGTCGACTATGACTTCAGTAAGATGGCAGATACAAAGGGTGGGTTCTTGACTGCAGAAGATGACCCTTACAACAAGGCGATGCACGCCGATGAAAAAGATCAAAAGCCCTCACACATGACGCAGAAGGAGTGGGAGAGACAACAACTGCTCAAGTCCTTGCGGAATCGACAGGCGGGACCTTTTGAACCCGGAATCAGTGCCATCACAGACCAAACCACAAGGTCGTGTCGAGAATGCGGGACTCTCGAGGTGGACTGGAAATGGCTTGACGTCTTCAATGTCGCTGTATGCAACACATGCAAGGACAAGTTTCCCGAGAAATACAGCCTGCTTACAAAGACTGAGGCGAAAGAGGACTATCTTCTTACAGATCCGGAATTAAAAGACGAAAATCTTCTCCCACATCTCGAGAGGCCTAATCCACACAAGTCTACATGGCACAATATGTTCTTGTACCTGCGCTGTCAAGTGGAGGAATATGCGTTTTCGGACAAGAGATGGGGTTCTGCAGAAGCTCTGGATGCGGAGTTCGAGAGAAGGGAGAAAGAGAAGAAGAGGCGAAAAGAGAACAAGTTCAAATCGAAGCTGGCGGACTTGAAGAAGAGGACAAGAGTTGAGGCATATCAGAGAAGCAAGAAAGGTGGCGGTGGAGGGAACTTCGGCGACGACATGAGCGGTGGCAAGCATGTCCACGAATTTGGTCGGCCGATTGACAATCCAGAGACTGGATTTCCTGTGAAGACGTGTACAATATGTGGATTGGAAGTGGAAGAGCTGGAGTTGTAAGATAACGACCAAGATGATACCGAGAAGCATGAATTCGCAGAGCAAAGGGACATGGAATGACATGTCCTATGTGCCTTTGGATGCCCTATTTCAATCTAAAATCACTCTGAGAACAATAAATACTCTCCAGGAGCGGTTGCGGCATCAATCGTATTAAGCCCCGGTATTTGGGAGGAGTGCAAGGAGTGGTGGAAGTTTCTTTAGCTGCAGACAACCGCCGCGTTGGCGCTAAATCGGGCTGGTCTCGTTTCGTTGCAAGCCGCTGCCGCTCCCTGCGTTCCCAAGCCCGGGGAGGGAAGTTGCTGCGCTGCCGCTCGTGCTTCTGACTACTCCATACATACCAGGAGAACAACCTGAATCATCCAGCTCGAGCCGTTCTTCACCCTGCCAGCCGTCCACCCTTTTCCCTTCCCGCCGATTCCACCTTTGTCCTCGTGCCTTAGCGTCTGCATTACGGTTTCCCCGTTCTCCTTCCCACCACGAGTCCTCCGCATCGACAAAGTCATCTCGACTGAAGACAGCGTGACCTCTTTCGAATCTCACAATCAACCACCATGGCTAGATGAGAGAGGCACAAGCATTCGAGCGCCAGAAAGCGCATAATGGCGTGGCAGCCCGGGGCTGGAGGGGGCGGCGTAGGAGGAATGGCCGGCGGAGAAGCGAATGGAGTTCAAGCATACACTCTACAAGGTGCGAATGTCTCCTCTACAGCCCCGTTTCAAGTGCTGACGGATGCGAACAGGTGTTATGCGATTCTTGCAGACAGAATGGCATCGACATGAACGAGACAGAAATGCGTGGGAAATCGAGCGCGAAGAAATGAAGAACCGGATAGCCATCCTCGAAGGAGAGACCAGAACGAGCAAAGGCATGAGAGTTTCTCTGGAACGACACGTTAAACTGCTGGAAACAGCTCTGAAGAAAGAACGGGAAAAGGCCAGAAATGCCAGCAAAGGCGAGCTGGTCGACAGTCACAAGGAGGCCAAAGAACTGGCTAAGGAAGAGTTGAAGGCTATTGGCAAAGGTATCGTGTCTCGCGCATATCTTTTAATACCCATCATTGACACGACGCAGATTCACACGTCAAAGCCATCACCCAGTTCGACGCCGAAATCGATCCCGAGAACCACTTGGCCCAAGGGATCCGACAAGAAAAAGAGCGCGACAAGTCCAAAAGCTTTCTCTCAAAATGTTCTTCGGAAATCACATATCACGTCCTACCTACGGCCCACGTACCGCCCGAGGTTAATGACCTTGCGACCTCGACAAACGGGAATCATCTTTTCCAGGGGCGACAGCCTACGCAACAAGAGCTTCAGGAAGCCTATCTACAGTTACAACAAGTAAAACAACAACAACATCGGAACGTGGCCATGGTCAGAGAAAATGCCGCTCAACCACCAACGCAGTTTCCTGAACCTACACCACTCAGTCGGACGAGCACACAGATCAATACCTCAGAAATACAGCCCGGCACAGCTGACAGAAGATTACCTGAACATATCGTCCAATCTGTACCAGTGGCGGATCCCAGGAAAAATTTCTACAACGAGCAGATCCCCGTGGTCGAGGATCAAGTGGAATCGATAACTCACAGTTTCGATGCTTATGGACAAGAGATCCCCTTGAAAGACCAGACAGAGATACGGACAATGGACGAACCCAAGCGGGAAATCTCCGACGGATGGGACTTTGATGATGGACCGCCCCCGTCCGATTTTGATGAAGGACCAGCCGCTTCCGAAAAGTTGCCCAAAGTAGCTTCGCCGCACAGGCCAGATACCGAAGTCTTTCCCAGCGCAAACATGATTCCTTCCAAGTCTCCGCCTCGCGCCTATCGTCGGAAGAGCACGGGATCAAGACGGCGCAGTGAAGGCAGCAATGATGTGCGGGAATTGGCAGCCAAGCCAGATGCCTCCCAGTTTAAAGTTCGGTTCGCTATGAGAGGACACTTGGATGTTGTCCGCTCGGTCATCTTCACGGGGGGTGGCAGCCCATCGGAACCTGAATTCTGCACTGCTAGCGATGACGGTGGGGTCAAGAGATGGCACATTCCAGCGTCTTATGGTCACAATGTTGCGCTGGGGGATGATCTGGACCGGATCGCTCATTTCACCCACCGAGGTCACATTGGAGCTGTTTGTTCGTTGGCAGCATGTCCCGCTTCTTCGAGCTTCTCCAGTGGCGGCCGTGCTGTGGGCGACGGTTGGATCTTCTCCGGTGGTGAAGATGCCACTGTCAAAGTTTGGGAGCGTGGCCGGGTCGATGCAAAGGCAACTTTGGAAGGCCACAAAGACGCGGTCTGGGCATTATGTTGTCTACCGGGGTCAACGGGTACCATTCTCGGAGATCGATGTTCACAATTCGGCGGACCGGATCGTGTCCTCCTCGTGGCCGGTGGTGCCGATGGTACCATTCTGATCTGGGCTGTCAGTACTCCGCCGCAATTGAGCTCGCCGCAAGCTGGTAGTCGATCAACAAGGGGCAGTCGAAGAGCCAACTCGATATCTGCAGGCTCGAACTTCCCCAGCTCGCCTCAGCCGAGCGTTGCCAGCACCACCCCTTTCAGCTACAGTTTAGTGCACCGGATAGAACGAGCAGACAAACCGGCGCCTACATCGATTTCTCCGTTGGGCGCTCATGGCGAGAACTTTGTCGTGGGATATACTGATGCCAGTGTATTGGTGTTTGACACGCGGACTGGTGAAGAAATTGTCGGAATGGCCAGCCAGGAGACCTACGACGGTACGCCAAACACAGGCATCAATGCAGTTGTTGCCAGTAGCGCGGGATTCGATACGAGAGATTCGGTTGCCCCTGGCCGACGCGGATCAATGGGTGAAGAAGATGTGGTACATGGGGCAACAGGTTCAGAAGGCGGCGTCGAAGGGGTGGTCATTGCGGGTTATGAAGATCGGTATATTCGTTTCTTTGATGCGAACAGCGGTCTGTGCTCTTTTATTTTGATTCGACTCCGCGAGGCTAACGTTCCCCCAGGACAATGCACATACACCATGCTCGCACATCCATCGGCGATTTCTTCCTTGTCATTAAGTCCGGACGGCAAAGAATTGGTATCAGGAGGTCACGATGCAAGTTTACGGTTTTGGTCACTCGAGAAACGTAGTTGTACACAAGAGATATCGAGCCATCGGATCATGAGGGGCGAAGGAGTATGCGGTGTCGTCTGGAGTCCTGATGGAAGGTGGGTTATTAGCTGCGGTGGTGATGGCGCTGTGAAGGTGTTTTCGAGAAGTTGATGTTGGTATGATGACGGCGATCATGGACATCTGTGATCTGTACCCATTTTGAAGATAATGAAACCTGACACAACTCCTCTCAAGTGTTTTAGAGTGCATGTGTGTGTGTGGCGACGAGTCGACGATCATATAGTGATTGATCTCTCCTTGTCTCACATTCCGGCAATCGAGCCTCTCCCGTTCGTATCTCAATCTCACCGTTCTGCCATTCTTGACGAATCTAGCTACCGAAGCACCACGCGATTGATTGGTCGGGTTCCTCCCTTACGCCTAGGTGAATAGGGCCAGCGAACTGCTTCCTTCACGCGGTGCGCGTTTCGGTTTCTTGCTTCGGTACCGATCGAAGTCTGCGCTATACTCCCTCGAGCAGACGCCGCTTAGAGACGACCTGGCGAAAGAAATCCTTCATCCCGTTGGGACCCTCAAAGGCCCCACGCAGGCAGATATGCTGCAGCTCGGCGTCCTTGAATCCAAATCTCTCTAGCAATTCAACGTACTTGGAGCGGTCCTCGACGACATCCCACCCCTTTAGCTCTCTCACCATGTTGAGGAACCCGAACAGAAGACCGGCGGTGAGCAGGAAGAAGGCGGCGCGAAAGCTGACCTTGGCGGTCCGCCGGATGTGCTCGAAAACGGTCTCTAGTAGCTCGGACGAGACGAAGTCCCGCAGTATGTCCAGACACACTCTCCCCGCGCACCTGCTGTATTGGTAAGCTGAAGTGAAGAAGGACGCGGGCAACATGCGATACACTCGCTGCATCACGATCAAGACGCCGATAAGAGACCTCTGTTCGGGAAGGGCAATTCTGCGGGCGAAGAGGCGGACAAAGCGCTGGCAATTGTTGAAGCCGATGTCATATTTCTCTCGTTTCATGCGTATGTAAACCATCAGTGCTGTGAAGTATTGGCATGGCTCCGTGTCGAAGAGAGGGTAAAGGGGAGGGAGGGTGTAACACTGACCGATCTTCCAAATATCTTTGTCCGTGCAAACTGTCTTTCCCACCTCTTTCATCTTGATACGGTCCTCTTCCCCGGCCGGTGCCTCTTCCCATTCTCCCACGAAGACACAGATAGATCCGTTCTTCTCATATACATCGTAGGTGTAAGGACCTATGACGAGCGCCCAGTGTCCGATGGTCTGAAGGTAGCTGGCAACGTTCGTCAACATTCCTTTCAATCCGCGGCCTTCGACAAATTTGCGGACAGGACGGTACTTGACGTAGATTTGGCGCAGACGACCAGGCGAATTGGTTTCCTTGAAAGGCAATGGTTTTCGGCTCGGCGTGTATGTTCGGCTCGCCTCGTTGGATCCTTCAAGGCTCTCGGTCGAGTCGATGCCTGGATACAGATAAGTCATCTCGTTGGATCCCGGGAGAGGATGGCATCCGAGAGATCTTACCCAGAAACTTGTAGATCTTTCGCTGAGGCTCTGTATATTTGCAGACATCTGCATCCATGCGGCTCTCACAATCAAAGTCATCTTCTGAATCAAACTCCTCGAATGGTTGATTCTTGTCCATGGCCTTGAGAAATTCATGGGCGAAGAGTCCTTCCAGGGTGATTTCCGTCGATACCACCTTTGATATTCGCAAGGTAGCCTTTCTTCTCGGCTGCACCAGGAAACGCAGGCCTATGATGGCAAAGATCGTGATAGCTGCACTGCACCAAAGCCGAACATATCGAACAAGGTCATTGCTCCTTGCAATGCCAGCCACACCATCGTGGAGGACGCCCTGGTCAGTTTTGTACTACCTTTAAGGAAAGAGGAAGGGGTTTCTTGGGTGTGAAATGAAAACTTAGCGAATGGCGCCGAGGGTCTCCTTCTCGACCGTTTGTTTCCTTGTCTGCAGAAGCCAGATCGTGGCAAGCGACAGATAAGTCTTGTTGAACAATCATCAGGGCAAACGTGAAGGTTCTGCGGGCCCATAGATGGCTGAAACTAGTCATGCAGAGAGCCGCTTGCACATTTCAGCTCTGCTCTGGTTGGGGTGGTGGCTGCCGTCCGGGAGGCTGAGAGAAGGTCTAGATTCCTGTTAGATTCGACAAGGCTGACATGCGGCCTGCAGCGACGGCGGTACAACAAGAGCACCACCAGCACCGGCTGGCCTCCTCGCTACCAGTAATTGACATGGTCAAATTTCACGATGCCTTGCAACCCGCCCTTCCCTGGATCCGACGCGCTTGACAATCACCCTCTGCGTACGGGCCCTACGACCTCCTCATCGACGGCCTTAGAACACGTTCCCGATCAGCCTAACGTGGCATTGACCCAGAACGATGTCGCAAGATTCCTCGAGGATGAGCTCAACACAGCAATCTTGGACCGAATGTATCCGTGGTTATGGCTCTGCACCGCCATGGACAGCGCGCGCATTGATGCGCTGCACAAACAGATCGTCAAGCGGAGGACAATCATCGCGAGTGAAGACGCTGCCCTGCATTTAGTTTGGTACCGGAGCGACATGTTCGTCAAACCGATCCCGCCAGCCTTGTTCAACTACGAATTCTGGAAGGAGTATCTGAACGGACAACCCCAACAGTTCGATCGCCGGGTCGTTCTTGGTTTCCTGAGATCGTACGGCTACCTGATCCGGCATCGCACAGACCTCAGGCTCGCAATAAAGGAAGGCCTGGTCCCAGAGAACATCGACTGGTTGCAATGGGAGCGCTTCATAGCGCCCTTCCGCCTGCTGGAAGATGACGAAGTCGGGCTCCGATACCATGCTGGTCAGCTGCGCTTGAGCAGGCTGAACATTCTCATCCGAATATTACGGCCCCGAGAGGACGGAGATGTGGGTACCAACCGACATTATCACCAGACACAATGGTACACAGCTTCCTATATGCGGCAATTTGCTGGACCTCTGCTGTTCATCTTCGCCTCGGTGTCGTTGCTACTCTCGGCTATGCAAGTCGTCCTGACCTTGCCCAGCGATCCGCCATGGCACACATGGGTTGTGCATTCCGCAAGCATTGCCGATGCTTTCTGGGGCTTTTCCGTTACCGTGCTCGTGGCGTTGGCCTTCAGCTGGCTCCTCTTGATTGGTGGTCCAATTGTGTATCTGATCGCGCAGCAGGTGTTCGGATATCGGCAGAAGTGCAAGTTCCAGAGGCGTCTCGCTCCATAGCCATCCCAGGAACAGAAAAGAAAAATGAAGTCTAGAAGCGTCGTCAACCGTTGTCTTGCAACCATGAATTTGGCAAAATACTATGTATGGTTCATAATTACTCGCACATAATCTGGATCATGTCTTGAATAGTACTACGGTCTAGAATCATGACAAAGCGAACTTGGACCCTTCGGCAACGAAACAGGGGATTTTCGGTCGGTGAGGATTTTAGCTTTCCCTTCCCGTCCCGTCTAAGAGTTGTCGGTGATGCCGAGATTGGTACTTACCAGATGGTCAATCGAGAGAGAGTCCCTTTCGGACCAATGCGACAATCGTTTGTGATGTGCGTAGCTCACTCTACACTAAGATTCCCAATCCCCCCATTGACAACTCCTCCACGTTTAGCTAGTAATTTCTGTGGTATCCTGCCGTTCCCGCAAAATCGATTGGTATGGGAGGAGTGATTGATCGTCAGCCAGAGGTAGTGCGCTAATGGCAACAATAAGTGTGAATACACACACATGGCTGTGCTTGGTTGTCCGGAGTCACAGTTGCAGTGCTGTAGCCCAGACGACCATCGTTTGCCTCCGATTCTGTCCGTATGCGACTACAAAGGCACAGTTTTCAAGAAGGGATAGAAGGCCTGGGTCATTCAATGTCATCAACTCTTATCAACCGCTGCTCTCGACGACAACGAGTAACGGCAGCAGTCTTCCCATTCGCGATCGAACTGCTTTTCATAAAGAGGATGCAGCTCACCGTCTTATCAGGCCAGACACGGGGATTCCACTACTAACATAGTACTTAGTAGTACTAGTACAACCATTGAGGAATTTAATTAAAGGATCAAAAAGGCGTGCAAGAAATATGCGGGAATCATGATCCCTAGATTCAAGTTCTGCGACTGCCAGTTGCCAGACGGATGTGCAGACCCAAACGAAGGCGCGATTACTATTACTAGTACAGTAGGGAGGGACAACACCAAAGACGTGATCAACATTGAAGGTACTACTAGTACTACTCTTTATTTATATCCTAGTACGCTCTCAACTTGAATGGAGCCTACTGGCTTTAAACTGAGGCACTAGATCGCAGGGTGCAAGCAGCGGACGCTCAGCGGTACTTAACAGAGACACTTTAACAAAAGGTACAGACAGCTAAACTACTTCCGGAAGTATTAGTGAGGCGTTAATACTCAACTTTTCTACGGCCTTGCATTGCATCTTATATCACGGGAAAGGACACCTATCGAGCGACGATTTATGTCTTTACACTACTTGTACTGCCTCTCCACAAGGTGTTTTACATCTCGATACTACATGAAGGCGTTTCTAACAATTTTCACCAATGTCGAATCGATGAGTGGCCAGCTTGAAAACCGTGTCATGCTACTTCTTTCCTTGGTCGTAGTAATGAGACCAACTCCCGTCGATGTCGTGCCTAAATCCAAAGTTATGGAACACGAGAGAGCAACAGTGCTCCTCCCATGGAAATTTGGGAGCCTCAGGCTGTTACCGAGTCCTTTGAGGCAAGATAAGCAACGTAGTACTAGTAACGTTACGGGAACAGTATTACCGTTGGCCTTGAATAGTGGCATGCACGACCTTACTGTTGATAGCATAGAGTCTCAGACGGAAATCAAGCCAATCACTTGGTTCGTTTCTTCTAAGCGGAACTGCCAGGCTATGTAGTACTGAACGTAGTTGAGAGGGCAGAGGCCTTCGGAATACTAGTACTATTTATGCGTTGCCCGCTCTCCGCTACCGTTGTCGGGGATTGAGAAGGATTTCCACAACTCTTTTCGACTAAGTCTAGTACCTGGAGTCCTTCTAACCCTACGAACACCGTGGTCTGCCTCTACCCCCGTGTGCCACAAGCTCAATGTCGTTGATGCGTTCGGGCGGGCTGGGCTAATTGTATAGCGGAACTGCAGCTTCTTCCGCAACCATTGTATACAATCCCTTTGTTTGCAGAAATCAACCTTTCCATCCGCAGAATGTTATCACGGCAGCACTATTATTCGCTTTCGATATATATCCTTCTAAATGGTATCGTACATAGTCCTAGTACAATGGCTCGAAGCATACAAGTAGTATAGTAGTAGCATATACTGAAAATCAGCTGCTATTTCCCGGAACCGCCTCTTTCTCGTTTCGATCTTGACAAGGTGACGGGTCGCAGGTGCCTCTGGCGAACTTGGTGCCTAACTCCTATATTGCCCACCCGCCTGTTTATCGGTGGGCTCGACTGATTTAGATCGATTCGAGATTGATTCGAACTATGCTAAATCGATTTAATATTAATTTAAGTCGGCTCGAACCTAGGATCTAAAAACTAAAGAGATGAAAAGTTTCGAGAAAAGTGCTGCCCACCGAGATCGGACGACTCCAAGTCTTTTTGTCATTAATTTACTAATAAACTAAGTCGAATCGGTTCGAATCGATCTGGAAGCGGTCCCAGACTGGGCTATAACCGAGTCTGGTGCTTAAATCGTTGATTAGGCTGACTCGATTCGAACTGGTTCGAATCGAGCTAATGCCTCTGGGGAAGGCTACCTAGTCGCACCCACTCAGTCGTACCCTTTGATTAGGCTGCTCATAGACTGTTCCTCGCCACCAACAATGCAAAAGACCTCCAGAGAACTCCTCAGGCTCGTTTAGGATCACGCACTCAGCATGGTTGACTTGTCAAATCGGCAGAGAGGATCAAGCAGCCACGGGTCTGGGTCTACTTATAGCTTTCACGGCCTCCGAAACGATGGTCGCTGAAACACCCGTCGTCAACGAAAACCACGTCGATCAAAACGAGCAAGATAGAATGGGTGAGCTGGTACAGCCTTTTGGCCCTGCAGAATGATGATGCATCCGGCGCAAATCGAACGAAACATGACATTTCTGTATTGCTTGCCACGCCTAGATAGGCCACCTCGGACTATATACTAAGCGGGGACTTGGAAGGGACTTGGAAAAGTCTTCTAAAATATATGAGAATACTAGTAATCAGGTTGGTGACCACGAGAGGCCCTTGTTAGGTTCTCGAACGAAGTAGGCGACGATTTATTGTTACCGTATAAGAGAGCACGCCAGAGTAGCGCACTTAAATACTAGTCGCGCGAAGTATATCAAAGAAGGGTGCTAGGCTAGGATCTCCTAGCCTCTTAAAAATGGCTCCTGTCGCCTAAAGTTAACGAAAGTTAGTTACAGATAAAGAGGAAAAAGGAAGACTAAAAGGCTTAAGGCAGAGCTCTGGAATCGCCCACAAAGCAGAAAGTGAGCCGAGGGTGAGTAAAGCGGGGAGCGGCTAATTGAGAAGAGAAGATAGAGGATAGGTTTTACGTTCGATACGAGGTACTCCTGGTGTATACCAGAACTCTAGCACAGTACTACGGAGAACACACTTTTCAACGTTAC